CCATCTCCCTCTCACTCTCTCTACCGCCCCACCCCCTCACCGCCTCTCTCGGCCCCTTCTCCACCGCCTCTCCACCACCTTTGCCTTGGCTGCAAATTGCTAAATCAATTTGTCCATCTCCTATCTGTGTGGGGCCGCTTTGGTGAGCAGGCCAGGCCTCTCTTGGGCGGGGCGGCGCCCCTCTGTGCAGGGGTTCCCTCCGGTTCCCTCTCTGGGGGACTGTCTGGGGCGGCCGGAGAGGCGGCGGGCAGCGGGCAATGCGATAACCGACAGACGCACCCCTCGGCCCGCCCGCCCCGCGCCCAGGTCCAGTGCCAAACCTCTGGCAAGCTGTCGCATTCTGGAATGAGGGGAGAGAGAAAAGGGGGGGGTCGCGTGCCCTTCGTTGTACTCGCGCCCTCCCCCACAGCGTCCCCTTCCTCCCAACCGGGCGCTTGTTTCGCTCCGCTAATGCCGATTGGCTCAAGGGGCAACTTGATTTAATTAACTCGTTGCTGTTTAATTTCGGAGCCCCGGGCGGCCGAGGGAGGAGCCTCTGGACCACCATAGTTGTCAGAGTCGCAGAGCTTTCTCACTCTGACGTCGCCTTATGCGTCGACATTTAGTTCGCCCGTCGTCTGTGTTTCCGTGTTTTCCTCTTAGCATTCGTCGAAAAGTTCCGCAGGTTTTTTCTTGCATCTAAACCGCGGTGAAAATGTCGTCCCCAACGCGGCGTAGCTATGCGGCGGGGTACTTACGCGGCGGGGCCGCGAGGTGCCAGGGGCGCAACAGGGCGCCAATCCAGTGAATACCAAGATGAATGTCCCTCACTACACCGCGGCCTCCGGCGGCGGTCTGCTCCACCCGGGCCGGGCCGCTTATTTACAATCCCTTGGCGATTCAGCACCTTACGGCAAATTCGGATGTACGCAGCCTAGACAGCGGCCTGCCGGTTTGGAGGACAAACGTTAGGTTGGGTTAGGCTAGGTTAGGTTAGGTTAGTTTAGTTTAGGTTGTCTGCGTGGGTACGATCAAAATAGGGCTACAGAGTCCTCAAAGCCGCTGACCGCTGCCTAGGCTGCGTGCATCTGAATTTGCCGTAAGGTGCTTATTCGCCAAGGGATTGTAAATAAGCGGCCGGGCCGCGTGTGTGCGCACCCGAGGATGAAAGCGTTACACATTCTGAAATGGAGTCCGGGAAATCCACTGTCAAATCCTTACAAACTGCACCCAGCAGAATCGTTTCTAGTAAATTTTTCCTTGTTTCAAGTGGATATGCACTACACTGACGCACAAGATCAGATTTTCTCTTGGAACAAGCTGATATATTTTCTTTTGAATAAGAGAAAAAATCTGATTTCAAAGACAATATTGCCTTGTTTCAATGGTGAATTTCATCTTGTGTCAGCGTGCACTTGAATCAAGAAACTATTTTTCTGGGTGTAAGCTTTGCGAAGCAATTGCGATCTTTTAAACAAAGGGTGCTTTGCAAGCTACGAAGCAAATGCTTTGCAAGCTACAAAGCAAGTTTTCGTTTTGTACATTTTATTTTATTTTATGATTTTATGTGTATTTTCTTTTGTTTGGGGAAAGGGAGGTGGTAGGGGGAGACGAAACAAGTTTATTTTACAACTATTCGACCCCGGTGAAAACTAATGACGCGTCGAAGCGAAGCGCGCTTCTTGTGTTGAACATCGCCCGCCGCTGAATGGCTCGTTGGCTGCCTCCGCTGCGCGATCAGCCATCACCAGCAGGTGTGTAAAGCCCTGGCGCCGCGCCGCTCCGCGCTTTGCAGCGCGTGTAGAGTGCACTCTCGCTGACATCCAGCGGACAGCCCGCCCGCGCTCGATTCATTCTGGAGAGGGGTTGTCGGAGCGCGGTGCGGGGCGGGGCGAGGGGCGGCCACGTGGACAGTTATCCCGTGTGCGCGGCCCGTTCCGATTCCGACAAAGGTCACACACGTCGAGTGTGACCCAACCTGGACGCCTTCCGTTATTCTTCCCCACTGTGAAAAATAACGTCGTAAATTAACAAAATTTTTGTAAAGTCGATTTTAAATTAAAATTTACGAGAACACAATTTTTACTCGCCAATGGATTTTAAGTCGATACGTAGTGCATGTATTTTTACGATTACAAATTGTAATTTTACAACTTGCGTCAAGGAAAATTTTCCTGTAAACCTTCCTACTATTTTTATCAGTACTCTGGAAACTCAGGTGTGCGACAGTCTAACACCAAATGGTGTGAGGAAAAATACCTCACACCAAACGGTGTGAGGCAAACATACCTCACACCAAATGGTGTGAGACTCGTTGTGCCTCACACCAAATGGTGTGAGACTCGTTGTGCCTCACACCAAATGGTGTGAGACTCGTTGAGCCTCACACCAAATAGAGTGATACTTTCTCATACCAAATGGTATGAGGCACAGAGGGTCTCACACCATTTGGTGTGAGGCACAACTAGTCTCACACCATTTGGTGTGAGGTATGTTTGCCTCACACCGTTTGGTGTGAGGTATTTTGCCTAACACCATTTGGTGTTAGACTGTCTCACACCCGAGTTTCCAGAGTATGCCTGAAAGCGGCTTTCGTCCAGATCATCGCGTGACTCGGGCGGGATGGTACTACTACTGCGACTGCGATCGAGTAAATGTTCCTATGATTCATTCCTCATGGGAAACTTTAAATTTTTAGGTGCTCAGTTTTATCTTTTTCTTTTTGTTGTGACATCTCTCACTTCAGAGGGAATACCTCACGACGCTTCGATCGCGCCTATGGACGGAAAATATCCCAGTTTGTGTTGTAAGCGCACCACACCTCGCAGATAAGCCCGAGGCCTGCGGTGCCTCTCCGCCCCAGTCGTCGGCCCAACCCCTTCCGGCTTCCGGTTTCCTTCCGCTCGTTCCCCCGATCGGCCGGCTCTCTGATCCGCAGCTGCAGAGCTCGCAGCACCGGCTACGCGACGGTGGCGTGTCGCAGTGTAGCGAGTGCCGATCCTCTTTTAAGGAACGGCGTGCCTCGATAACAAAAAAACAAAAAACCATCAAATAGAAATAAGAAAACAGAAGCGGCGTGTTTGGTTTTACTACTTGACAATAATAAATCAAATGAATAAATAGAAAATGTGAGGGCTGAAAAACCCGCAGTCCTGAAATCTGTCGCGTGTGGCTGTGTGTGTGCGTGTGTGCGCGCGCCTGTGGGGAGGGGGTTATTGTGTCGTATTTATGGCATTTTTATCAGTTTCCTGCTATGCTCTTCAACTGATGCGAGAGAGGGCCTGCGAAGTGGTCGGGGGTGAAGTTGCTGAAAGTTTCTCGTCCTTATCGTTATCGCTCCCTCATGTGCGGCAAAGGTTTGAAAAAGAAAAACGTAGAGTGCAGCCCTGGCGGGGCGCTGCCGGG